GGAGACTGAGGGGAGAGCCCACTGCAGTCACAGCTCCCAAATGAGGGGAAGAGGAGGGGCAAACTCTAATCTCATTTCTGAGATGGCCACTGGCCTGATCCAAAGGAACGTCTGGGTTGGATATCAGAGAAAGGTTCTTCTCCAGAGSGTGCTGGGGCACTSAAAAAGCTCCCCAGAGCAGTGGCCACAGCCCTGARKCCACCAGAGCTCCMGGAGGATTTGGACAGTGCTYCCAGGCTCATGGTGTGACMTTGGGGACAGTCCTGAGCAKGSCCAGGAGCTGGATTTGATCCTTTTTGATCCCTTCCACTCCCATTTTTCTGTAACCTTCTCCTGGCCAGTGGGGTTTGAGAATTTGGTGTTTGCAGGATGGAAATGTGGGTGCTGGGTGGTTCCTGACTCACGGGATTTGCAGGCTGCCGTGGAAAATGAGGAGCACAAGCCAAGCTTTGAAAGCACCGGGCAAGACTTTGGAATTTGGMCGTAAATTATTCCGAGGTAATTGCTCTCAGAGAAGAACTGCTGGAAAATTCATCTGCTCCCTGTTTTTCACAAGGCAACCAGAAAATTTTTTTTGGACAACTCCTGTCCAGCAAGGGGAAATTTCTGCATTTTGGGGGTTCCTCAGCTACGCTTCACTTCAAAGCTTTTTGATTTACTGAAAAAAAATCCCAACTTGCTCTTTTGGGAACTTTTCTTGGGCATAGAGCTGGGTTGCACAAAATTCAAGTATGCTCAGGTTACTTTGAAGAAGCTTCTTTGATGTTTCCCAGTGCCAGTTTGTTTTGGAAGGTGCTTTAATGGTCTTCTCCTATAAAAATAACACTTTAAAATCTACGTGGGTATCTCAGCTCTCCACTTAAAAAAAATGAGCAAAGTTGTTTAATGCTGCCGTTCAAGGTACATTAACCTTGTCTGCTAAAGCTCTGACTGGCTCTCGCAGGTTTTATTCTCCTGTTTATGTTGCAGAGATATCCCTGGAGCCTTTCAGAGATGGGGATCTTTGGAGAGGAGGGGAATATTTAGCAGTAATTGTTGTTCTCATCAGAAACYCACTGAAGCAGCTCCGTCCTTTTTGTGGAGCCGAAATTGGGAGAAGGATTTGGAAAATATTAAATAAATAAGAATATAAATAGCAAATAAATACTTGTAAATATTAAATAAATTTAAAAATATTAAATACTGTGGAGCTGAAGTTGGGAGGAGGATTTGGGAAATACAAAATAAATAAAAATATAAATAACAAATAAATACATGTAAATATTAAATAAATTAAAAATATTAAATACCTGTGTGAAAATATTAAATAAATAAATGCTCCTTTGCCCATTGCTCAGGGACCCATCCAATGACATTCTAAATGTTTGGCAAGAGATTTTTGGCATTGTGTGACACACTTTCCCTCTCCCTTGTATCCCAGTGCTTATCTATTGACCAACTCCTTTTTCAGGAGAAAAACAGAAAAGGGATTTGCTCTGGTCTAGAGTTTATTCTGCAGAAATATCAAATCACAATCTGCTCTAGGCCATGCTTGGAGCAGAAACTCAGACTCGATTTCTCCTTTATTTTTTTTTACCAGGCAATAATAACAGGATGCTGGGAAAGGTAGGAAGATCAACATTTAGTAAATCCAGCATCTTGGCCGAGAGCAGAAGATGCTCCCAGGTGCAAGAAAACCTCCTGGGGTTGTATTGAGGAAATTTGGCTGCCATATATTTGTAAAAAAAATTTAATTATTTGGTGGCACAATGGTATCTCATGAATATTCCTGATCTCCCCAGATGAGGGTTTACATGAGCCTTGAACACGGAGGAATGGCCAAGAATGGGGAAGGTCTTGACAAGTTGCATTTTCTCCTGGTTTTGACCATTTAGGAACATTTGGTTTGTTTTTAATAAGCTCAGGGTGGTGTAAAAGACTTCCTTTAATGTCTTGTAGAAACCTGGTATTCATCTTCCAGGGTAAGGCACGAATTTTGATAAAAACAATCCAAAAAGGTGAGGATTGGTGGATAGAAATGAGCCATTCAGGAGGAGAGGGTCACTCCTCATTCTCTTTATGCTCGATCAAGAGTTGGTGTCCCCGTCCTGGCATCTCCACCGAGGAGCTCTGTCCTCTGGAGGAACCTCTCCCTCCCTTCTCTGCCAAATTTCATCATTTGAACTCAGCTGAATGCAGATATCATCAACTGCAGCCTGCCCCAGCCCTCTCTGAAGGTGGTGACATAAAAACCTCCCATGGAGGGAGCGTGGCTGACGTGGCAGTGCAAATCTCACAGCAGCCCCTGTTCAAAAAAAAACCCTCTAGAGAAGACAATCTTCCCTTGATACACAAAAATACCTTCCGTGGCTGGAAAAAAACATCCTCAAGTAGCTCTAATAATTTTGATGCTTTGGGTGGAGAAGAAATACCTGAAAAGTTGATTTTCTGATTTTTTTCTGTTAAATCCTTCGTGTTGCTGTAGGGCAGGAGCTTCTCAGTGAGCTAGAAAAAGTGATCCCCATTTTCCCATTGGTTCAGAAACAAGAATTGTCCTTTGGAGACTGAATATGAACATTTTTCTTTAAAACAGTGATGTAGAATCCATAAATGGGATTTTTACTTTTTTTTTTTTTTTTATTAAGCCCTAATTCTAACCAGCTCTAATCATTCTAAAACAGGTTTATGGCTGTTTTATTAACCAAGGAAGTCATATTCACCTGGAGGGTGGTGGATGACTGACAATACTTTGGATTTTTAGATGTTTTAAGGCATCAGTGACCAAATGGAGAAAAAAAAAAAAACCCAACAACTTTTTGACTTAGTCTTTAATTATTTTCACTTGAAAAAGGCTGTAATATATTGCTGGTAAAAAACCCCAGCCTATAAATCTGGGAGTCTTTTAGATAGGCACAAGCTCTTTGGGAAATACATTTCCAATGTAATGGCAACATTTCAGTGATAGCTGAAATAATTTTATTTCATAAGGAAATTTAGGATACTTTGATCTCGAGTCGCTGCCAAAATGTGAAGTGCTGCTGCTTCCGGAAATGAAAGAGCCTTTCTGGGTTTTATTGCTCACCATTTCTTTCTGCTGTGCAAATCCCACAGGAGCTGCTGTGATTCCTGCCCTCCTCGCTCTCCAGATCYCTGGAATTCTCTCTTCAGCCAGGATTTGAGCATTACCTGGAGGTGAGCTGGGAGCAGCTGCCAGGGGTTTGGTGATGCTCTGCTGGATGCCCACAGTCAGGAGCTCGTGCAGCCAAATTAATTCAAGAAGTAGGGGAAAGACACAAAAGAGAAGGGATTAATGTATGAAATAAAAAAAAAAATTATAAAAAAATAAGGGTTAATGGATGTAATTGCAGCTTTCAGCCCTTCCCTGTGCTGGCTGCTGATAAATCCATGGGGCTGACAGCTCTGCACCGTTATCCCAAGATTCATTCCCACATGGAACACCTGTCCARCTTTTCCCCTGGGCACCAGGCTCTTTCCTGGATATTTACGGTGCCTCAGTGCATTTGTTCCCCCAAGATAAATATCCTGCTATTGGCAACAGCTGTCTCCCACTTTTATCCTATTTTTTTTTTTTCCCCCACACATTTGGCTGCTAGTCCCATTCTCCAAACAAATCAACACCCATAAACCTCAAAGAACAGCTTGATTTGAGCAGCTTCGATATTATTCAGCAATTAAAGYGGGCTCTGGGCTGCCACCTTCTGGGAATAGGCTCACCCAAAAATCTCACACCCCACAGGAAACAGCCACGTGCTGCTTGTAGCATCAACAATAGATGCCAAGCAGGGTATTTTTCCCTAAAATAGCAACATATTTTTTTTTTAGCTTCCCACCCAGATGTCCAGGCTGTCACTGTGCTAAATTCTGCTTTTCCCCAGCTGCAACTGGGAGGTTTTTCCCTCGGTGGTACCCCCYGAGGACAGGGATATTTGTGTGCCTGCAGCTGCGAGCTGAGTTTCCACATTGGACATCAAAGATTTTAAGCTGCGAGTTCACTGAGGAGCAGATAATTTTGCCTCCTGCTATTTTGCTGTTGGGAAAAAAGAAAAAAAAAGATGAAAAGCAGCATTTTAATCCCATAAATGCAATATCCCTCTCCCTGTGTCGTGCAGGAACCGTGATCTACCTCCACAATGAAAAAAAAAAAAAAAAAAAGATGAAAAGCAGCATTTTAATCCCATAAATGCAATATCCCTCTCCCTGTGTCGTGCAGGAACCGTGATCTACCTCCACAATGAGCAGGGTTTTGGGTGTGATGTCAATTCGTGGGTTTTCCACGTTTGTGCAAAGTATAAAAAAGAATAAAATAACCTCATTTATTCATGCACAATAAATTGGACTGATTTAGGGTTAGTTACAAAAAAAAAAAATCTGTTTTCTCCTCACATAAGTGTATTTTCAGAAAGCAGCAACTTCCAGAGAKGTTGAGAGCACCATGAGGGCTTTGTCCTCAGTTTATGGGGTGTGCAAATTCCAAATCAGAGTTGTTGATGCTCACCCCGTGCACACAGAACTTGGCTTTTCTTGGATATGGGGCATTTGTGAACTCAGTGCCTGGTAAAGCCTGAACCCTGGAAAAAATCAGAATATTGCACCTCTTCCCCTAAAAAACCTCTGTAGGTAATGTTTACAAACTTTGCAAATTTTTCACRAARATTCCCAAATGYGCCTCGGTTTCTGAGCTCAKCAGTKCCCYCRTTCCTCTTCCTTGTCACCATTTCAGGGTGACAGTGTTGCTGACACCATTTTTGGGTTATATTCCCTCACTTTCTGCATTTCTTCACGGGATGATGAAGAAATTCTTCTCCAGATGAGAAGGCACCGGTGCATTGAGGGGATCACAACCCTTGGGGAGATGTCACCTCTTACAAGAAGAAATTCACTTTTGCAGGACCCAGGAAGATTTTCTGGGTGACTTTCTGTGAGCTGGCCCAAAACAGAGCTCTGAGGCACAGAGAGAACAGGACAGAGGTTTTTTAAATAATTTAGGCAAGATTATTGGCTTTTCTTCTAAAGCAGCCACAGAGCTGCAGTGAAATARTGGAGAGGAGGTGTTTTCAGGGCCTAAAATTGCTTTTTTGGGTCACATCCACCACCAATTGTTGGGGACTTTTCCCAGCCAAGTGTTCCACTATAAATTCATCCCTTCCTGGTGCATCTCTTTTTTGTCCTTCAGATTAGAAGGATGCTCATTTTCTGATGGTATTTTAGGAGTAAAAAAACATTATTCCTTCAAGGTGTAAGTACAGTTACAACCCATTTCCTAGAATCCATTTTCTTCAGTGTGATTCCACATCTAAATCTGAGAACCAACGTGATAAAATTTATTAGATAAAAGTACAGCTAAGGAAGGCACCTTCTCTAATTAATGTAAGGAAATAACGTGAATGAATCAGCTCAAATGTGGGTGCCTCTCTTTTTTCTTCATCTCCTTTGGAYCYGAGTTMMAAAARAAAAAAAAWMYSTKTT